AAGGCTGGACTCTACATTAAAAAAAATTTAGTTGATATTCTAAGCATCTAGCTTTTGTCGATCAAAAAGTAAAGTTAATGCTAGTATACATAATAACTTTATCGTATGTACAAATTTAATATTGTAAGACCAACACGTACACATAAAAGATATGTGCAACAGACAAAATATTTTAGCAATACTGTTGCTATAAAATCTGATGATAGTAAAATAATGTAAAAGAAATAAAATAAAATAGCACAAAAGACAGAAGTAAAAACGAGATATAGATTTTGTGAATTATTATACCTATAATTAACTATGAGAAATACGAAATGATAAATCAAGCGGCTGATTGGAATGAAGAAAGCCAAAAGGAGGTTTTTTAATATTTGTCGACAGCATTTATTGAATTAAAATATTTGATGACGATATCAAAAAAAGATTGACTTGGAATTTTATGGATCACTAAATGGATTTAATAATAGCGACTCAACAAATAAGTTGAAACGTTATTTATCATCATTTTGATACTCGAAAATGACAAAAATAACTTTAACTTTCCAGATAGAACACAGAATCACAATTAAGTCATAATGATATCATAAAACGTCATCATGAAAAAGTAAACAAGAACAAATAAGATCGCGATAATGTTCTTATGATTTTACTTCTCTGTTTTATTTCGCAAGGAGCACACAATAAAAGTCAACAAAAAAAAATCAAAATGATTTTATTTTAATTCTTACTGTCAATAAATAATCAAAGTTTGTAATTAAAAATTTATAATTTTGATTTTCATGAGACGTCAAAATAAAGTCATTTTAACTTTCTCTTGACTTGTGTGTTTCTTATGCTGAATTGTTTGTTGGGGAATGTTTGAAGGGTGTGCAATGGAAATCATAAGGAACCTGTCGCAATTGTGGAATCGATTCGATTCTCCTTAAAATGTGTGTTGTTAAACACAAATCTAAGACATACATATTTTTTTATATCGACCAATACCAATCTTAGATTTAAAGGATAAAACGACTCCTCAAAGCTAACGCTACATATTTACATAATTCCTATCGATTATCAGTGAAACGGTGAGATGTATAGAAAAATATTTTAGACAAAATTTTTTATAGTTTTTTTTTTATATACTTTATAATCGTGTGTTTAGATTTTTCAAAAATCTAATATTTTTAAAAACTCCTATCTCCAATCAATTTTGAGGGATTGTTTCACCTTAAATCTAAGAATGGGTTAACATAAAAAAAAATACATATCTCTTTGTATTTAACAGCATATTTCTAGGAGAATCGAGTCGGTTCCGTACACTTTTAACAGGCATTTTATCAATCAAACTCAGTCTCGAAAATTGCTAGGCCTAAATCACGCAATCACGACGCGAGTAGCCATCTCTCGCTAAAGAAAGTGGAAACTTTCGTCTCGCAGAACTCTACTTACCACTACGACCTGCCATAATCGTATGAGCGTAACGCAAAAGCATCTCCGACGCCATGCAGTCGTTCACCGTGACACCGACATGACTCACGACGAATATCGCGACGATGGCATAAATAAAACATCTTGCGGATGCCCGTGCGCGTATTCGCACCGCGTCGTTACAGGAACGTATACAAGGAGACAAGGTTCCAACTTGCGGGGTGCGATCCAACCGTATTCAACCCTTATTGCAGCGACCAACGCGAAATTAAATACTACATTGCTATCCACATATAGATAGATTTGTCAAGTGCACAAAACAGTCAGTCTCGACATTTCAATCTACTTCGTCGTGTAGAAACGAGAATTCCACAATTATTTCACTCTCGTCGAAACGCAACTGTTCCGTCATCCTCCCACAAAAAGTTAACACGAACAAGACCGCGCAATTAAACGGCCAAGTTTCTCTTGCTTTTTACGCGGGTTTCGAGTAAAACAATTTCGGGCTATTTATCGAAGTAAAACGGAGCCGAGAAAACGCTGGTGGCACTCGATGCTCCCGGAAACGTTCCTGACGATCGTGTAGGGTGTGTTCGCGCATGGGGGTTGCAAGGCGACATCGCGACCATTTATCGACCAAAGGGCGCACGTGCGCAATCGGCGAGGTTGGCGTGCCGTCCGTCGACCCTGCAAGTCTCGAGAGATCGACTCTCCGTGTGACCGCCGTGCTTTCGAAAGCGCTTTCCCCGCGTTGGCCGATTCCCAGGTGTCCCAACCGGGAAATCGATCGATTGCGCGATCGGGGGTACTTTTCACGAGCGGCCGGGGCGTAGAAACGCGAATAAAACGCGTAGCGACGAGTGCGGAGGTGAAAATCAAAGTTCGGAGGTGAGCCATCGAGATATATCGCTCGGTCGTACGCGTGCGCGACGATATCGCACGGCGGCGTGCCTCCTGGAAATTTTATCAATACCGCGGCGGCCATCTAGTCTTGCTGGCAGTTGCTCGCGAAAAGTTACGCGCCGAACGCCGAACGACCGACCGGGGGTGTCGCCGAGCAAGCCGATCGACAAATCGACGAGGATTATCGGAACGGGAAGAGCCCGAGGCGATCAACGGCAAGAAATATGTGAGTACACGTGATAATAATACGGAACGCTGCGGACGCGATCCCCCCGGTAGAAATCCGAAGGTTCTCCGCGAGGACGTTGCGAGGATGAAGTATCTACCATTCGATATCGAGAATCTTAGACGGAAAACAGCGAGTCTTTCTTTCAGTCAGTTCCGACGAACGAATAGTCTCTAAAGACGAGACATAGCTGTGAAATCATGCCAAACGGAGTAATTGAGGTGACGCACATTAGCTTCGTGTTAGACTTCGCGTTGCGGTACACCGAGTGCAATTTCCGGATGCGCTACCTGCTGATACGATGCTCATTGACGAGGCCTCGCGATTATCAGGGACACCGAGCGTTGTAAAGCGTCGAAATCGGGATGATGATGTACTTCTTAGCTTTCGCTTCGCGCCTGTATACGATGATACAAATGGCGATTGTATTGTGGAGCTACATCGAGAGTGAATTCCGTGGCCATTCCGTAAACGAGTCGAAAGCATTAACGTAATTGTGTCTCTTTAAGGGGGAGCCTCTACTCAAGACTGTGACGCATAACTAGATCAATGAGCGATTAGAGTAGAACGGTGACTATATTACGTTGCTCAATCGCGCTCGGTCGCGATTCAGCCGCGAAAAGCAGTTTAGCGAGAAGGTGCGGCGATCGATGGAATTTTGCAGGTATGAATGCGCAAAACCGCGCGTAAGAATCGCGTAAGGAGCCCGCGGCTGAGCTCGACGAAGAGGGCGAGAATCGCTGTCGCTGCGGTACGTTAGTAAGATATGTTTTAAGACGCAATTGCCGAGGCTTGTCGCCGCCAATCGATCCTCCTCGCACGACCCGTTCGCGGCACACGGCAGAATTTCCAATAGAGTGCAACAAAGCTCCGCGATGCCCGGCACGTATACTTGCTTTCAAGAGAAATTAATCATAACGCGACTCTTCGAACTTCTCAAGGGATACACCGTAATGCACTGACGCCACTGACCCTATCCGACGCGAATCTTTTATCTAAAGAGTGGAGTGAGTGGTGGAAAAAGTATTGACGAAACGGGCATGTTGCGTGAGAATTTTTTCACATCTCTGTCGGTTATATTACTTCGCTGAGGCTCGATTGTTCCACCTTTTGGTAAATTTTTCCTGTTGGGTAAGTAGCAAGATTACCCAATCACATGCGCGGATCACCAGATTTATCTAACAGATAAAATTTACCAAAGGTGGAACAACCGGCCCTGAGAGAAAAAAAAATGGTT